GGAAGCGACCCCTAGATATATATTTGTTTAATGGTATAAAAGTTCGGTAAGGTCCCGTATAATAGGTTTGTTTTATAGCTTGAGAGTATGGTAAGGACCCTTTCAACAAGTCGACAGTTCTTCTCAAAATATGCGTGAATTGTTAATGAGGTCAAGTCTGTGACCTAGTTCACATTTTTTCTTGACGTTTAGTTAAAAAAAAAGTTTTCTGAGTGTTTATACATTTCTAAAACTATCACTTTAAATATATCAACCAACTTTAAATATAAATCAACATCAACACAGATTATAAAACAATTCACTAGATACAACAAATATATCAAAGAAAAAAAAATGGTTTGATTTATAAAGGCAATCTCTTCTAATTTATATCTTTTACATCTTTGCTCGTATATAAACCCAAGTAAAAACGTCTACATTCTTACACATTTCATTCCACCGCGTCTAATTTATATTTTCTGTAACGACGACGTTGCATATTTTTTATAATATAGGAAATCTCTTATGTCCAGTGTTTTGAAAAATATTAGAAACTATTGTGTTAGGGCTTCGTAAAATCGTTTTAAGAAAGTGAAAAACAATTGGGAGTCTTGCCACTTTAATGATATAAAAATTAGTATGTAATTAAACATACACTGATTGAATAAAGATTATCCTGTTTAACCAATGCAACTTGACAAATGTTATTCACATGTGTCACAAAGTTATTTTCCATCCGTTACATGAGTAGTTACGTCATTAAAAAGGTAGAACTCTTAATGATGTTGTCAAATATTGTATTTGCTCTAATTAATTCCGAATTTAACTTTCTCTTATGTGGGTTTATTAATTATAGTTTTCAAGTTAATTAAGTATCCAAAGAGCTGGGAAACCGTGGAATTGCATACCTCTTTGGTGACCCTCTTGGTAACCTCTTTGATGAACCCATGGCGACCCCCTTCCGTGACCCCTTTGACCCATAATGTGCCGCCCTTGAGCTCCAATGATCCGCACGCATTCTTTTTTTTTTTTTTTTTTTTTTTTTTTGCTAATTTGTGTGTCATCTTTTCCCAAAAGAAAATCTCCGACTCACACCCCCCCCCCCCCGTCCCCCAACTCGGAGTTTAAGTAAACAAAAATGTTTTCCCAATATCGTCTGTCCCTGTTCGGGCAGAGGATGACCTAATTGTGGACAATGCGACAGGGCTTTTAACGTTCATCAAAGGTGACAGGAACGTGGTGTGACCTACTTCCGATCTCGTTACTAGGGGGGGGGGGAGGTATTGGAGAGTTCAACAGGCAGACGTCCATAGAGTCCGACATTGTCTTAGACCAGGGGTCTCCAAATTTTTCAGTCCGAGGGCCGCATTAACTATCAATTTTCAGTTCGGGGGCCAGTTTCTTCCAGGCATGTCTTTGATTTTCTGGGCAAAGTTCCTCAGCCATTACCAACAAACGTTTTTTCCGTGGACTAAAAGATCTCCGCGGGCCGGATGAGAGGACCTCGCGGGCCGCATCCGGCCCGTGGGCCGCAGTTTGGAGACCCCTGCCTTAGACAGTCATACAGGACTGTATGAAGTCTTTGTCAAACTAATGTTATGTTTGACAGTCATACAGGACTGCATGAAGTCGTTGTCAAACTAATGTTATGTTTGACAGTCATACACAATTACAAATGGTCTCTGTCAGACTAATGTAACATATGACAGTCATACACACCTATCAAAAGTCTTTGTCATACTAAAATAACGTTGGAAGTCATACACAGTTTCCAAAGCTCTTTGTCAGTAACAAAATGCAAATAAAAAAACAAACAATAGAATATAGAGTACGTTTGTACAAAATAAATATCGCTTGTAACTAAGAGATAATCCAACAATCTAGTCTGTAAATAATTGGAGATAATCCTATAATCCAATAACATCGACAACGCTATCAGATCAAAATTCAATTTTGTCACGGAATATTGTTAAAGCTGTTCAGAGGCGTAGGGACCCCTCCCGGCGCCAGGGGACAAACTTTCAATTTGGCGCCCCCCCATATATTTTTTATGTTTATAATTCAAAACTGCAGCTAAAATTAGCTTTTAAATTTTTTCCAACCCATTTTGGCGCCCCTAGGGTCGGCGCCCGGGGACATATGTACTCACCCCCCCCCCCCCTTCGCTAATCTTCTTGAGCTGTTATATAGTAGAAATAAAGCTGAATAACTTATTCTCTCTCCAGAGGCGTAGCGACCCCTCCCGGCGCCCGGGGCGAACTTTCATTTTGGCGCCCCCATATATATATATATATATATATATATATATATATATATATATATATATATATATATATATATATATATATATATATATATATATATATATATATATATATATATATATATATATATATATATATATATGCGTGTGTGTTTGTGTGTGCGACAGTCTGGAAAAAAATTAACAATTACGCTGATTGTCGTTCCCTAAAACTTCACTGGACGCCAGTTAAATTCCCCTTAAGATGCCGAAACGAATAAAAAGTAGAAAATCAAAAGAGCTTAGAACAGTGGGCTCCATCGAACCCGAGAGGTTTGGTAATTCAGTCTCAGGGTTTCCGCGGATATCAAGACCAGAGTTTCTTCCTGGCATCTCTTCGGGGGAGGGGGGCAAGGCCCCCGAAAAAAATCTACCCCCCCCCCCCCCAGAACGAAATGAAATTTATATAATTTATATAGAAAATATATACCTTTAACAGTGTCCGCCCCCCGCCCCCGAAGAAAGTCTACCGCGCCCCCCCCCCCCTGGAAAATTTTAAGTGCCCCCCCCTGGAGAAAAAAGTCTGGAAGAAACACTGGTCAAGATGCACACCCGACTCATAAGATTCACGATCGGATTTTGTCATTGTGGACGATACAACTATTAAGGAGGGTTCGGTGATTGCGCATATGAAACTGGTTAGGTTCGGTACTCCAAAAAGTTAAGAACCACTGCTTTAGAGTGTATTTTGTAGAAGGTGCAAGCCTTATTTGGTCTACTTTTGGTCGTGTCTTTAGAACAATTTCAATAATAGTAGGCCAATATTGCAATTTAGAATTATCAGTTAGGCTGAACAAAGTAATAATCAGTGCAATATACTAATTTTCTTCTCTCTTAAAATTTTGGCAAAGAGTGTCGCTTCCCATCCACCCGCTAAGACAGTCTGCTAAATCTTTTTTATGTTACACAATCGTAAAATACTCTTTAGTTCAATGTGTTTCTTTTCTGGGCGATATCGGTTTATTCCTTAATCCGGTGTGAATTGTTCAGATTTTAGTCTTCGAAAAAGCGCCCCCCCCCCCCATCTAGTAAAGCTGGAAAGCGGTTTTTCCAGTCACTGTTTCTTAAAGATATACGTTTTACAGTTACACAACCAAGGTAGAAAACAGTTAAATCAGTATGCAAAGGCTCTCAGCCGTTAAATGTCTTTACTTTGACTGTTTATAATTCAAAATTGTAGCTTAAAATGAGCTTTTAATTTTTTTTTCTACCCCTTTTGGCGCCCCCCTAGGGTCGGCGCCCGGGGCGGCCGCCCTCCCCGCCCTCCCCTAGCTACGCCTCTGTCTCTCTCCAAAAGTAGACGATTGTATAGGCATTTTAACCAGTCGTGAACTTTAAAATCTTATACAAAAGAAAACACAAACACACGTATAAAAAAATAGTTTGAAATAATAATCATTAAAAAAGTTTTAAAAAACCCACGTTTTCTGATTGAACTAAAAAGTAGAAAATAAATGCTATAGGCCCTACATCACAATAATGCAAGCGATCACTCTACTATAAGCGATCAAAAACGTGGGGCGCCGAAGTAAAAGTTATATTACTATTGATTAGATAATACTATTGACTTTTATTAGGGAGCTTGTAGAGAGTCAACAGTATTAGAAACTGTAAGAAAATCACGGCGCCCCACGTTTTTGCTCGCTTATAGTAGAGTGATCGCTTGCATTATTGTGATGTAGGGCCTATAGCATTTATTTTCTACTTTTTAGTTCAATCAGAAAACGTGGGTTTTTTAAAACTTTTTTAATGATTATTATTTTCTACTTTTTAGTCTTTGTCTGTTTGTTTGCATTAAAATCTTGCTATCGATTTTATCTTTTCACTTTTTTTGGGTAAACGAAGACAACTCGTAAAAAGACAACTCGTAAAAAGACAACTCGTAAAAAGACAACTGGTAAAAAACTCGTTGTTTGAATACGTTACTGACTAGAACACATAGATTTGAACCCGTGTCGAGTGGGATAGCAATCGTGTGCCCAACCACTCGACCATATCGTCTCCCCCAAACTGGCCTACCTCCTGTAAGTTTAAACTCGGTTCAAGCTAAATTCTCTGCCCCTAAGCCTGTGGCGACATGTGATCGTTCGCTTCACTGCGCGCGAGGTACGTGTCGCTGGTTTTTTTTTCTAATGGCTAGCAGAGGAGAATTATATATATAGATTATATAGCGGTCTAAAATGCTCAATAAAATGTTTCCATTGATCAATTTAGTAATAATAACAATTGAATATTCAATGGTCATCCAAAAGAAAGCTTCCCTGAAAATTTCAGCGCGCTAGCTAACTGGGAAGTGCCAGAAATTTCGATCGCAAGATTTGATTGGAAAGACAAACACACAAACAGAAAATGGGAAAATAAACAACGATGACCCCAAAAAACCAAGGGCAATAACCGCGACTTGAAAACAATGGCCGGCCACTACATTTTTTCTTTCTTTTTTGTTTGCTCTTTTTGTTCTGGACGGCGTCTGTATGTTTTTGTGTGTTTGTATAAAGTGTGTGAGTGTGTGGTTAAATTTCAAATATTAAACATATAAAAAAATATCTAGTTTGCAATAAATATATTTTTTAAATTGTCTTCAATAGAATATTAAAAACACATTTTGTTTTAATAAATATAGATGATTAAATATCACTGAACATAAAATCTGATAATTTTTTAATGGAAGTTGATGTCCAGCTTTAAATTTCTGCAAATAAATTATCAATACACGTAAATGGTAATGCATGCCCGATCGGGCGGTAACCTTGAAGTCATGGGTCTTCTGTTAGGGAAAGTTGATGGGAACACCATGATTGTTATGGATGGAGTGGCATTGCCAGTAGAAGGCACAGAGACAAGGGTCAATGCTCAAGCCCAGGCTTATGAGTACATGGCTGCATACACTGAGGCTGCTAAACAGGTGAAACGCTTAGAAAATGCCATAGGCTGGTACCACAGTCATCCAGGATATGGTTGCTGGTTATCTGGCATTGATGTGTCAACACAGATGCTTAATCAACAGTTCCAGGAACCTTTTGTCGCTATTGTGATAGATCCAGTGCGAACTATATCTGCAGGAAAAGTTAACATTGGTGCATTTAGAACACCCAAAGGGATATAAACCACCAGATGAACACCCCTCAGAATATCAGTCCATTCCTCTCAACAAAATTGAAGACTTTGGTGTCCATTGTAAAGCTTATTACCCATTAGAAATGTCTTACTTCAAATCATCCATGGATCGGAGACTGCTTGAATCTTTGTGGAATAAATACTGGGTCAATACCCTGAGCTCATCTAGCCTTCTTACAGTGAGTAAAAAATTGCTTCTATCAGTTTTTATACTATTCATTTGTACCTGTAATTACTTGGCTGTTTATTATATTGTTGTTGTTTTTTTGTCAAATTGATGCTTAAAGTCATTACCTTTCACCTGACTAAAATAATTATTGCAGAATGCTGATTACACAACAGGAATGATATTTGATTTGTCAGACAAGCTAGAACAGTCTGAATCACAGCTGGGTCGTGGCGGTCTCATAGGCACTGATGCACAGGATCAGAGGCGTAGAGAGGGGGGGGGGGGGCGGGGGGGGGGGGGACATATGTCCCCGGGCGCCGACCTTAGGGGGGGCGCCAAATTGAAAGTTTGAGGGTGGGGTGCAAATGAAAAGTTCGAGGGGGGGGGGTGCAAATCGAAAGTTTGAGGGGGGGTGAAAATGAAAAGTTCGAGGGGGGGGGTGCAAATCGAAAGTTTGAGGGGGGTGCAAATGAAAAGTTCGAGGGGGGGGGGTGCAAATCGAAAGTTTGCTCCCGAGGGGGGGCGCCAAATTGAAAGTATGTCCCCGGGCGCCGGGAAGGGTCGCTACGCCTCTGCACAGGATAAGAAAACTGAAGATAAACTCACCAAAGCAACCAAAGATGGCTGTAAAACAACTATGGAGGTTTTACATAGACTCATGTCACAAGTGATTAAAGATCGGTTGTTTAATCAAGTTCATTGCAAACCTGCTGAGCCAGATCAAGCACAACAGCCGCAACAATAGTTTGTTTCATTTATAATTTCCATTACTTAAAAAACTGTTATGCTGGTGTGAGAAAGAAAAGGGTGCTGGTGTAAATGTTTACTTATCTTGTTTTGATGACATTTATAAGGTAATTTAGATACCTGGTGAATGTTTTGATAATTTTGTTTTGTTTTTCTGCAGTTTAACCTAAACTAAAAATTCAGTCTTTACTTAACTAAAATAAATCATATACAATTTTTTGACCTTTAGATACTATTGTATATTTTCAAAAAGTAATACTTGACAGTTGAAAAAATGTTCACTTTGAAATGTGTATTTATTTTAAATTAAAAAACAAACAACTTTAAAAAAAATACGTCAGCGTAAATAACTTTGATCGTTTACAAAGTTAAAATGTGTGTGCTACACAAAAGTCGCCTGATACAACTACAAATAAATTAAACTTCGAATACTAATAACATTAATATAATAATTACCTTTTAAATGCACTGAAAATAAGGAACAAAGAAAACAACTTTCACTCATTTAGAAAAGACACATGGTCGCTAAAAGTTGTAAACGATTTTATCAACACAATAATTAAAAAAAAACATTTATCAGCTGATAAACACCACATACAGTTTCAATTTTTTTAAAAATAAATCATATCTTTGGTTTTTGTTTGTGATATTTGTGATGTCGAAGGGGAAGGCAACTGGATTCCACCAAGCTACACTTTTTTCTGTCTTCTCAAGAAACTCTGTTCTGTACCTTTGTCTTCTCAATAAGGTGTTGTAAGCAATTATTATATGTTTCATCTTGCCTGTTCTGTCCCAACGCCTACTCCACGAAAGTGATAGAATATATATATATATATCTTTTTCTTTTCGTGCCCAAGACACATGTGTCAGAGACCTCGGCATATGAAGGGATAGTGTGGTCAGCACTATGCCCAGCCAGTTTTGTCTATTATTTTTTTTTGCAACTTTTAAAGGCAATACGAAGATTTTTTTTGTCCTAAGCTAAGGCTAATGAACTTACTTGTAGTCTCACTTAATAAATGCAACAAGAAGAAGTTTTGGCCAGTATTAAGGGTTCAATGACTAAAAATTTTTTTGTATTGATGTATTTATGATAACACATTTTTATGTAATTTAGACTCCATGTTTACATTTCATTTCAAATATACTTTCAAGTTCATACTGCTAACTATTCAACTCTTTTTCATAACAAAAAAAAATCTATTCTAGAGTAGTCTCCCCTTAGGGTCAACAAGGGTAGCCGCCCTTGGTCCGCCCACCTCCAGACTTTTGTTTATACTGCAGCTGTTTATAATAAACTTAGGACTGTTACAACGTGTTGACGACATTCCTCGAATACTTTGACGGTTCATAACTATAAAACTGCCACAAGCATTGTAAGGAATAAACTAATTATCAACTTTTAATTCTTTCTTTATAGCAATTTTTTTTTGTTTCACTGTATCTAACACTCCCATTTTTTTTTGTCTTTATCTTTTGTGTTGCACTTTTATTTGCACTCGTCTTTGATACACATAGTCTACCTGATGCATTCATTATTTTCGGTTAACTCAATGAGCTAGTTATATTTGTGTATAGCCCTTTGGGTAGGTGATTTTAAAATATGCATTATTTGTTTGTTCTTTGTATACTCAATAGTGAAGGTGATTGTATGATATACATAATTGTTTTTTAATATACCCAATTAGGTACCTTTAGGAGCTACCCAGTTCGTTATCTGTTTTGGGACCCTTGCTATTGTTTTTTGTATTTCGGGTTTTCTATACTTGATTGTTATGGGTAAACCCGGGGGTAAGCCCAGGGTAAATCTGGGGGTAATTTCAAGATAAATCTGGGGTAAGCCCAAGGTAAATCTGGGGGTAAGCCTATGGTAAATCTGGGAGTAAGCCTAGGGTAAATCTGGGGGTAAGCCTATGGTAAATCTGGGAGTGAGCCCAGGGTAAATCTGGGGGTAAGCCTATGGTAAATCTGGGGGTAAGCCTATGATAAATCTGGGAGTGAGCCCAGGGTAAATCTGGGGTAAGCCTAGGGTAAATCTGGGGGTAAACCTAGGGTAAATATGAGGTGAGCGAAAAGTTGAGAATTCCTATTCGTGGCCAACAGGACGATTAGCGTATGACGTCGCATCACAAAATTCACAGGCAGCAGTCTTTGTTCTTAGGGTTAGAATTTAACCGGACATGATTTCCGGGTCGTAAATCACACTTTGGTACCCGGATTGTGACAGGGAAATAACTCTTCCATAAATCTAACTATCATCATGTTGTTGTCAAATCGGGATAAAACCAACAGGTCGCGTGTTCCTTAAATAAAATTGCTGAGAAAATAAAATTTAAGGAGGCAAAATAATAATAATAATTATAATAATAGAGCAAAACATTTAGACGTAAAGTGAAAGATAAACCCCATCTCCCACCTCCGTTCTTGACTTAGTTTAGGCCTTGTACAAGTACAGATACTGAAGTCGATCGATGTCTGACTATTTGGATGGCGCAGGTCAACGCTGTGGTTATAGTATGACAACACAACATTCATGGTACAATGTAAATCTGCAAAAGTATACTTATATATATATATATATATATATAAGGGGCGTAGCGAGGGGGGGGGGGGCGGGGGGTGCGGATCGCACCGGGTGACACCATTTAGGGGGGTGTCACCAAGGCAAAAATAGCAAAATATATAGAAAAAAACTTGAGGGGGGGGGGGGGGGTGCAAAACGAAAGTTTGAGGGGGGGGGGGGGGGGACAAATTGAAAATTTGAAAGTTTGACCCCGGGAAGGGTCGCTACGCCTCTGGGGGGTGACACCATTAAGTGCCGCACCGGGTGACACCCGACCTCGCTACGCCACTGATATATATATATATATATATATATATATATATATATATATATATATATATATATATATATATATATATATATATATATATATATATATATGCTTCTTTAGCACTGCCCAGAGTCAATATGCGCCACCCATTTTGAAAACCGCCGATTTAAGATCTCTTTTTTATCTTATAAAAATTATCTAAATTTTAAAATGCTTTTTATTACAATTTAATTAACTTTTAATTTCTCCTCTCCCTAAGACAAGAAGAGATACTATATTAATCATCTCCACCGGCTCTGGGCGACTATGATAATGTTATAATCCCTTTGAAGTCCCCAGGCTCCACCTAGCGGTAATATTTTAATATTCACCATACGACGTTCTGAGTCCTCGGGACCCCGTGCATTATTTAAAAAAAATATTTTTACTCTTCCACCGCCATACCGCAACAAGGGGCAACAACTCCCCTCGTCAAAGCCGGTGTAATGTAAACGAAAGGTCCTGGTTTGTTTAGCGACTACTTTCTAATTCCCCGATGTAAGTTCTCCGCAAGCTCTTGCCTTCACTCACGTCCGCGTCTTCAACGGTGGCCCGCCCACTACTTTTCTTGGGGATAAGGGGGAGGGGGGGGGGGAGATAGGATACTCACCTGTATCTTGTAATTCCGGACTAGGATGTACCTAAAAATTTTCCGGCTTCCCGTTCCTTTGATGTCTGCCCGAGCTGGGGGAATGTTTAAACAACGTATTCTTACGGGCTTAGCTAGTGCAGACACAAACACAGACAAATAACAATACATGTCGAATGTTGTTTTTTGTATGCGTCTATATAGCAATAGATTTCGAATGTTGTCTTTTGTATGTGTCTATACAGCAATACATTTCGAATGTTGTTTTTTGTAGGTATCTATACAGCAATACATGTCGAATGTTGTTTTTTTTTGTAGGTATCTATACAGCAATACATGTCGAATGTTGTTTTTCGTAGGTATCTATACAGCAATACATGTCGAATGTTGTTTTTTGTAGGTATCTATACAGCAATACATGTCGAATGTTGTTTTTTGTAGGTATCTATACAGTAATACATGTCGAATGTTGTTTTTTCGTAGGTATCTATACAGCAATACATGTCAAATGTTGTTTTTTTGTAGGTATCTATACAGCAATACATGTCGAATGTTGTTTTTTGTATGTGTCTATACAACAATACATTTCGAATGATGTTTTTTGTATGTGTCCGTAGAGCAATGCAGACGAATGAAGGTGTATTTTTTAATTTTTTTAAGTTAGTGTGTCCTTACAGAAATATAGAACAATACTGATTCATTTAATGTTTTATCTTTGGTTTCCACACAGAAATATGGACAAATACATACATTTTAATGTTGTTTTTTTTCGTTTCCCAATATCATTAACCTGACCTTGTTTTCTGACTCATGTCCATCTGTAACAGCACCCCAGTAAAGCCACTTGATATTGTTTTAAACTTTCAGTTTTCTTTAGCATTTTACCCACACTATCCCACACAAAAATACACACTTGAAATCCGCCTATGTTTCCATATTTATTATCTGGGATGGAATTATCATACGGCTAAAAAATTTCGCAAAGCGGGGTGGGGTTGGGGGTAGTGTACATTTGTATACATGAGTATGAACAATAGTGGGAAATAGGAAAACATTCAAACCCCTTCCATGATGTATTACTCCTATAATGGGGGTGCCCATAAATCTCCTTTAAATAGTTTTGTGCTAAGTAATTTAAAAAGCAAGCGCTTCTCTTAATTTTGATTTAAATAAGACATACGACATACTATAGAATTTAAATAGAATGACATAGTCATAAAAGTAATGTATCCAAAATTAATAATAAAAATATAATAAAATAGTGTGGTAAACAGAACACAGGAAACTATTACACATACTAAGCCCCCGTATCTCATATACATTTGGCCGGCTTGTCTGATACAAAGTTTCACTTTTCACAACTTTCAGAGGGCTTGATACGAAATACAAACATTTTTAAAACTCATTCATCTCAGGCCCAAAGTAAGTTTGGGCATATTTTTATGTGGCTTGTTGTCTCTTCATAATTATACTTTGCAATGCAATAGGATAGATAACGAGCTAAGGAAAAAGAGTAATAATTTATAGTTAAGTATATATATATATATATATATATATATATATATATATATATATATATATATATATATATATATATATATAAACAGGACAGGAAAAACATTTGCGACGGGGGGGGGGGCGATTCCAGCTCCGCCACTGCATGCCATAATTAAATTTCTTCGAAACTTTTATAACGATTGAAG